AGGAGAGTAATGTAATATGGAGGTGAGTGGTTGGGTAGGGGTTAATGAGGAATAGTATTGAGCTGGTTTTTTTTGATGGTAGGTGGGGACATATGTGGTAGGGGGGGGGGGGGTTGTGGACGGAATGGTGACGAGGATACGGGAAGGTAGGGGAGAAGAGGGGTGGGAAGTGGGGGGGGTAAAGGTGAAGTGATGGGAGGGGAGGTAAGAAGGGGTATGGTAATGGGAAATGAAGTGGTTGTATATAAAATAGTTAGAGTGAAGAGAATAGGGGTAGGTGTGTGTGGTAGGGGATTGGTGGTGGGTGTGTGGTATGGGTTGGAATGGTTGGGAGGTGGTGTTAGATGGTGAGGGGGGTTGGGGTATGGTGTGTGCGGGGATGTGATAAAAGTATGGTGATTTGGGGGGGGGGTATAAAGAACAATTAAGGAGACTGGGTAGGATTTGTGGGGGGTGGGGATGGGGGTGGAGGGTTTTGGGGGTGTGGAATATATGGAGACTGGGGGGGGGACACACACATCTAGGGTTCAGTTTGAGTTTTATGGTGGGTTTATTTAGTGTACTTGTGGGAGGTGGATTGGGGAAGGATTTGGGAGATAAAGGGGGGAGGGCACGTGGTAGGAGGATAAATAGAAGGGATGGAGAGAGGGGTCGGTGAGGATTGACAGTAAGGTTTGGGGGAAGGAATTTAGGGGAGGGTAAGGTGAGGAAATGAGTGGATTAGTGGATAGGGGGGGGAAAGGGGGAAGGAGACAACAAGGGGAATAGTAAACTATTTGAATGGGGGTGGGGGGAGGCGATGGGGTAGGGGGGTGAATGGATGGATGAGGGAAAATGATAAGATAATAGAGAGAAGAGTTGGGGTATGTGTGGGAAAGGTATGTATATGAGGGGGGGGGGGGTGAAATATGAGTAGGAATTGTGGAATGAGGTTTGTATGGAATTGGGGTAGTAGCGGTACGGAAGTGGTTTGGGGGGGGAAATTTAGGGGGGTGGGGTAGTGTGGGGGGGGGGATTGTGGTGAGTGTTTGGGGTTGTGACACAGGGGGTGAAAGAGATAGGAGTGAGGGGTGGTGGGGGGGGGGGTGTTGAGGGGATGAATTGGGTGGGGGTGGTTTTGTGTAGGGGGGAGGGTGTGTGTTGTGGGGTTTGGTGATGAATTTGTTAGTGGGGGTGTGAGAGTGAGACACAAGATGGTAGTTGAGGGGAGGTGAGGTTATGGGGGGGGATGGACGACGGGGGTAACGAAGTGATGTGGAATTTAGATACTTAGATGAGAATGAGGGGGAGGAATAATAATGAAGGGGGGATGAATGGAGGTGGTTGGGACGGTTCGTTAAGGTAGAGGTTTTAGTGGGGGGGGGGGTGATGTGGGAGGGTAGTTCACATGTGGGGAGTGTTATGGTGTTGGGAGTAATTGGGGTGGGGGAATTGGGGGGGGGGGGGTATTCACTGGGGGTGTTTTTGGGGTGTGTGGTTAGAGGTGAATGTGAGGTGAGTATGAGTGGCGGTTAAACATAAAGTGGAGGGTAGGGTGGGATTTCAGGGTGTGGAGTTAGATAGTATTAGTGATTGTGTAATTGGTGGGGGTTGTTTAGGAGCGATGGATTGTGGTGAATATGAGAGTGGGGGGAGGTAAGGAACACGCGTAGTGGATAGAGGGTCGTGGAATATTATGGGGACAGGATAGTAGGTGATGAGATTTTTGGGTGGGGGGGGGGGGAGGGGGGGATGGGGGATTGAGTATATAAAAGTGGACACACAGGGTGGGAAGAATAGTGGGGGTGGGGGGAGTTTGGGTTATAAATATATTTTTATATATATATATATATATATATAGAAATGTGTTTGTATATATATTTGTGTGTGTGAATTTTAGAAATATGGGGGGTGAACCAGGATGATATATATATATATATATGTGTTTGTATATATTTTTGTGGGTGTCTGTGATGAGAATTTTAATATATGGGTGTAAGAAGATTATATTATATATATATATGGAGTGGGGTGGGTATAAAGGATATAAGAAAGGGGGTGGGTAATGGGACAGTTATAAAGGTGAGTTATAGGGTGGTATTTATGGAGATGTGGGGAATTTGTCAATGGGTTATTCTAAAGTGGTGTCTATGGGGGGGTGGGGACAGTAGGGTTGTAGGGGGTGATAAGGGTGTTAAGGAATTTTATATGGGTTTAAGAGTTTAAAGAGAAGTTTGGGAAAGGGGGGGGGGGGTAATGTGGGATTAATTGGTAAGGGGGGGGAATTGTAGTGTGGGGAGTTAATAGGGGGTATGGGGGGGAGGTGAGGGTATGGGGGGGGGGAATTGGTGAAGAAATAGGAAATTAGGGGTTAGAGTTATTGGGGGGGGGGGGGGGGGGGGGGGATGGGGACAGAGGGTAGGGGGGGTGATAGTATGGAATAGATGAGGATGGGGGGAAAGGTAAATTGGTGGAGGGGCTTGTGTTGGTTGTGTAACATGAAAAGAGAGGGGGGACATATGTTGAGAGAGGGAAGGGGTGATGGGGGGTATGGTGATGGGTAAGAGAGAGGTGGGGATATGGTAAGATAAGGAAGGGGGAAAAGAAGAATATACAATGTAGGGTAATTAAGAGTGGTGTGGGATTAGGAATTGGGTGTGTAGTAATAAAAGATTTAGGGATGGAGGTAGAAGGAGAGGGGGGGTTAAGAAGTTAAAGTATGGGGATGGGGGGGATGGGGGTGTGGGGGGGGGAGTGGGTTGTGTTAAATTTAAATTGTTGTGTTGTAAGTTTGGGGGTGGGGGTATTTGTGGGGGGGGTTTTTTTATGGAAAGAGGTGTGTATGGGGGGAGAGATGTTAAGTTTTTTTTGGTGGTGAGGGGGTAAGTTGAAGTTGGTGGTTTGGATTTTGGGATAGGGTGAATTGGTGTAGGAGAGATTTTTGATTGGAAGATATGTGTATGGGGGATAAGGTAGTGTATTGTATTTGTTAGAATGGGGGGGAGTTTTGTGTGTGTTATGGGTGGGGTTTTTGGGTTTATGATTTGGTGTATGTTTTGAATTTATAGAGTGAGGATTTAAGTTTTTTGGGGGGGTATGGGGGTATGGGGTAAGGGGGGGGTTGAAGAAGGAAGGGGGGGGGAAAAAAAGTTGGGTGGATAAGGGGAAAGGGGAAAGGGGGTGTGTGTAAAGGAAAGGAAGATAGGGGGAAGAATGGGGAGAATATTGGGGGGAAGGAGGATGGAGGGGGGTATGGTAAGGGTGGGTGGGGTGGTTTGGTAGGGGTGGGGATGAAGATTGGGGGGGAAAGGGGGAGGATGGATGAATATGTATTTTTTGGGAGTGTATGTTTGTTTTAAGATTTTGTAGGGGTTTAGGAGTGGGATGAAGGATTGTGAGTTGGTTGGTGTTTGTATTGTAGTTTATTTGTTGGGATTTGTGTGGTTATGAAGTTTTATGTTTTGGAGAGGTTATAGGTGTTAAGGGAGGGGGGATTTAGTAGAAAGAGAGGGGAGTGTTTATTGAGGAGGGGGTTTGAAACCGATTTATGGATGGATAGGGGATTGATGATCCATGGGGAACTCTCCGAACTCCTCCCATGGGGGGGTGTCGGGGGTTTTTTGCCTCTGCAACAGCCCGGGCCGCGGCACGCTTGGCCTGCCGGTACTGGACAGCTGCCTCCGGAGTCCCACAAACCATCATTGCTCGATAGGACTCCTTCTTCAGCCTGACGGCATCCCTTACTGCCGGTGTCCACCACCGGGTTCGGGGATTGCCGCCGGGACCAGCACCAGAGACCTTGCGACCACAGCTACGAGCCGCTTTATTGGTGATAGAGGAAGAGAACATGGTCCACTCGGACTCAATGTCCCCCTCCTCTGGGTCCTGGGAGAAGCTCTCCCGGAAGTGTGAGTTGAAAGTCCGTCTGACAGGGGGCTCAGCGAGACGTTCCCAGCAGACCCTCACTATACGCTTGGGTCTGCCAGGTCTGACCGGCTTCTTCCCCTGCCAGCGGATCCAACTCACGACCAGGTGATGATCGGTTGACAGCTCCTCCCCTCTCTTTACCCAAGTGTCCGAGACACGCGGTCGAAGGTCAGATGATACGACAACAAAGTCGATCATCAACCTCCGGCCTAGGGTGTCCTGGTGCCACGTGCACTGGTGGACACCCTTGTGCTCGAACATGGTGTTCGTGATGGACAGACCGTGACTGGCACAGAAGTCCAACAACTGAACACCGCTCGGGTTCAGATCAGGGGGGCCGTTCTTCCCGATCACCCCTCTCCAAGTGTCACTGGCATTTCCCACATGGGCGTTGAAGTCCCCCAGGAGAATAACGGAGTCCCCGGGAGGTGCACCGTCCAGTACCCCTCCCAAGGACTCCAAGAAGGCAGGAACTCGGCACTGCCGTTAGGCCCGTAGGCCGTCACAACAATGGGAGACTTGTCCCACCCGGAGGCGGAGGGACGCGACCCTCTCATTCACCGGGGAGAACTCCAACACATGGCGGCTGAGATGGGGGGCAATGAGTATGGCCACCCCAGCTCGCCGCCTCTCCCCGTGGGAAACACCAGAAGATGACTGACAGGTATGAGATGATGATACAATCATCCCCATCTGAGAAGTCCTCTATCTCAGAGTTGTCTGCAATTGCCAACAGCAATTGTTCTGCTCTTGACAATGAAAGTGTGCCTGTAATGATAATGTTAAAAACCAACATCAAAATCTACAGTATATCAGTGACACTTCATAGCTTGGCTATCATGTGCTAGCTATAGCCTAGCTATATTGTTTATGATTTAGAATTTAGCAACACTAAACAATACTTAGCATATACCACTTAGTACTTAAATATACTATTTACAACTGTAAACCACATAACTAAGCAAATGTGTGATTCAAAATAACTATTTACAACTGTAACTTCATCTAAATCTTCCACACGGTTAGCTAAACAGATAGCGGTACATAGTCCTAGCGTCCTCAAACGAGTGCTTCACTTTTACTGACATCCTAGCCTGCTACTACAATCAAAATTTGTCAAATTTCAAACTCCATATGAAGCTAGAGACATTATTGTGCATAAAAAAATTGATTTCATTCATAAAATGTTGATAGAATTTTTACCTGGGGCATTTTTCTTCTGTAAACTCTTGTAGAAGTCTTTTGCTGATATTGCCACCATTTTTTTCCTACTGCCTTAAGTGTAATTCTATCATATCACCACAAGATGGCGCGGGCAGTGTCCCTAAATGTGGCCATCAGGTCAAGGATGTAAAAAATTTAGTATCATTGTGCCAAGAGGCAAAAATGTAATGTCCTCGTATGAGGTCGCAGGGTCTCAGGAGGTTAAAGCTGGGAATGAACTAGCCTGGTCGTACCACACCATAGTACAAATTACTATTACATAGTAAAATACTGCAACTTCAGAATATCCACTGAACAATGTCACTTTACTTATCTACTTATTATCCTGCACTATATGTACAGTACATAACTCTGCACTACTACGTATACGTACTATGTATATATTTTTCTACTGGTATTGAAGCATTTCCAGCATCTACAGCCAGTTATGCTAGTTAAGAAACATAGCTACTACGTATTTTGTATATATTGTGTGCTCCCTGTGTGCTCTTACTACTGTCCTGTACGTGCGTTGCAACAACAAAATTTCCCCACTGTGGGACAATTAAAGGAACTCTTATCTTAAATTATATTTCGTACTAAGGTCTGGAGGCGCTACATTGAGCTCCATTTACAGGTGGGAGGGGTTAACTCCTTTTGCAGATTGAAACGATTGGATCTGAGCTTGGCGTGACGTATATAGTGCTCCGAAGTCTTTCGTTAGCATTTAGCGTTTAGCCTAGCTTTAGCATTTAGCCTAGCCATCTCCTTTGCCGCTAACGAAGCCAGTAGCGCCACAATTTTTCCAGCGATTACATTTGCTAAACATTCCTCTCGCTCTAGCTTCAATTTCTTGACAGAACCAGACCGGATTACTTTACTATCACATTTTTCGCCATTGCCAAACTACAACCTTCCCGTTGGACGCAAACTCTTGACGTCACCCACAACTAACTAGAACACCCGCCTTCCGCGCTCTCTGAATGGTCGGTCGAAATACAAGCGATTGTAATCGCTAACATGGGGACCAGACCCAGACGTTACATGCAGTGAAATTATGATTTAGCGGAGTGTACGGATGGCTAAGGCCAGGCTAGGAATGAACTGGCCCCACCAAATGTCTCGTCCAGATTTTAGCGCCACGGCCTTCTCTGCAGTTTTAAACCCAGGGAACAGGGCCTTCTCTGTGGTCTTAAACCTGGGGGTCTTACCGGGCTGCTGTTTCTCTCCTGCTCTGTCTTGCGGTTGTAGAAAGGCTCGTCCCACTTGTTGTCCTCCGCCTGCCAGGCATATTTCAGGATGGTGCTGAGGACCGCCTCTGACAGCAGGATCACCAAGTACATGATGAGGAACGAGTTCATGGACCTGAAGGGAAGCAGACATTTGGAACAGACTGAAAGGAGACCTGGAGCTGTGTTAAGATCTATCCACACGTGGTAAAGGTAAAGGTGCTTTATTAATTTATTTTATTTTATTTATCCCATTCATTCTCTGCATTTGACCCATCCTGATGCCACAAAGGCTTACGTCAGGAGCAGTTGTTGCCAAAGTACAGCGCCCAGGAACCCATCTCCAGATTTTGACTACTCACTTCTCCACAGCAGATCGCTTCTGGGACTTGCATTTATAGTTCAAGGCCATCTTTGACTCCATCCCCGTGTACACCGCCACACCTGGACCAACACAAGCCAGAGGGTACTCAAACTGAGAGAGAGATACATGTAACATCAATATGCCAATTCCTGCGAATATTATTCACTTACCGAAAATTTCTTTGGTATTTTTCAACCTGGCTCCCCGCAGCAGCAGATTCTCTGGGCCCAGCGGTCTGAGTGGAAGCAGAGGGGAAACTTAAGGACAGAGGAGGAGGTTATGGGGCACTTTCCATCACTTATCAAGGAGGAGATAAAAAATAAGACTGTAAAAGTCATGTGGACAGTGACGCTGCAATTAGAATCTTGTCATTATCTAGTCTTAGGGTGTATTCAGACCCGAAAAGTCCTTTGCTCCGCTTGCTTGATCCGAATAAAAGCGGACCAAACTTTTTTTCTTTTGCTCCGGTTCGTATTCAGATTGTACTTTTTGCAAGTGAACTTTTTTATATAAACATATTGACACGTCTGACGATCGGCGCTCCTATTGGACAGCGAGAGCTCACGGAGGATAGATGCGGAACCGGCGGAAAACGTTGAGCTCGTATGTGCAGCATGTCTGCTCTGCCTATGTTTGCTCTTTTTAGAGCAAAACCACCTTCAACATCAAAAGCAGCTCATTAGACACAGGCGAAACGCGTTGTTTTAAATATTGGAACAGTGTCGGAGAATGTGTGAGGAGAAAGCCGAAGGAGACTCTGTGCGCTCCGTGCCCTGTCCCACACATGGATCTATAATAATAACGGCCCTGTTCAGCATTGTGGATAAACCATGGATCTATAATAACCACGGGACAAACAGACGCTGAGGATCAGGTAGGAACCAAAGAACACAATTCACTACATGATGCGGAATATTGCTCTTTGAGACGCGAGTCAAACAGAGTCAGGCTTTTAATAATGCAAATGATTTGAAGATGCTGCCATTAACATCACTGTATACTGTGAACAGTTGTAACTCCATAAGCCTGTTGCACAGCGTCTCCTCACTGCTCCAGGTCTGCCCACGGCTCATTGTTGTTGTGTAGCGTTAGCAGCATAGTTAGCAGCATAGTTAGCCGCTGCATGGCTAATTCCTCAGTTTCTGTCTGCGGCTTGTTAAGCCCAAAACATGCGCACGTATCTTGGAGTTGTGTCGGATCGACACCGGATGTATTCAGACCTGATTCGACTTGGACCAGAATTCGTTTGGAAGCGGACCGAGACCACCTAAAAAAGTGGGTCTCGGTTCGGTTCTTTGGTCCGGACCAGGATTCGTTTGTGTGTATTCAGACCTGCATAAAAGCTTCGGAACAGAGTTCCAAACGAATCCTGGTCCGTTTAAAGTGGAGCAAATGTGCAGGTCTGAATACACCCTTATTGTCAGTGAGGGCTGAGCATAAGGACTCTATATCTCACTAAACTATCAATGTTCAAATATTATTTTGTTGAATATTTGAACATTGATAGTTTTGTGAGATATAGAGTCCACTAACAGTAATATTTTGTCTTTGTAATCCACATAAAATACCACAATCAACCAGGACCATGATGACACTGCTCTCTCCCAAAATTATATCGTTATATCGATATTGGCCAGCCCACGGACTCTTGGTACAGTGGCTGGAGAAAACAAAACATAACTCAAACTCACCTGACAATCTCCTCTCCGTGCTGCGTCACTGTGATACGACCAACGAATCTGCAACACACAACGGAGTATCACACATCAGCAACACACCAGTATCACACCAGCGAAACAGTTACATTTTTGTCTGTGAGTGTGTGAGTGTCTGTTGCCGTGTATCCTTGTGTTAAAAACATAGAATATGACGGTACACAGTGTAGTTGCACTGTAGTAGGGGGTGGTGCTTGGTCTAAAAATATCCCAGTGAATCCATTGATCCAGAAACAGAAAATTAATAACTCATTTTACAGAACCGAGCTTTAATCTGAACAGTGTAAAACCATCCGACAAACACGTCTGAGGGCGTTACAGCTGTGATCAGTGACAAATGTACTTTATCATCACTCAGGAACCGCTGCAGTCAGAGCTGAAGGACGCCTAAACACACACAAACGCAAGCTTTTTTCATAATCTGCCGAATTCATTTAAAGTCGTTCAGTTGCATATTGTTTCCACAGCACATGGCCTGGCGTCTGTACCTTTACTTTCCTTAAGCACATGGCCCACAGGTAGCACAAGGGTTAAGCACAAGGCCTGGTGGTTGTACCTGTGCTCAACTTACACATAGAGAGTAGTTGTACCTGTGCTCACCTGTACAGATCGGCCTCTGGCTGCTGACACTCAACCACAGCCTGAAGAGACTCCAGCTGAGACACAGACTGACAAACGGAGGTCTCTGCCACCGAGTAATGAGTCTGCAACACACAAGAGCAGAATAGTCACACACTACAGACACACACTCAGGCTGGAGCATACAAGCGCAGAACGGTCACACACTACACACACACAAACTCAGACTGGAACACTGCACACACAGACACAGTTTACAACACACAAGAACAAATACACATTCGACACACACAGGGAAATATTTGCCGCACAGACAATAGACTGTATAAAGATGGACAATGCTAACATGCTAGCTCAACAAGGCCCAATAGGGAAGTGCTCATGGTGAAGTTTGTCTCCTATCTCTCTCTAGCTTCTATTGACTTACATGTAAACGTAAAAGCTTAAATCTGTGGTTTCTCTCTCTCTCTATGATCCTGGTGTTTATATTGAGATATTATCTGAATGTAAATCCAGATTAAGCCATATAAGGATCGACCAATCAGATGCCTTCTGTGTAACTGTTTAGTGAGAGTGGGGATAGCCCGACGTCGCTCCTGTTTGTCTCTTGGTTTTCGCGTTGAAACAAACATTTCACCCAGGTTTTATACACACACACTCACACCAGATGAAGCTGGAGCCTAGAGCAGAGCAGCCTCAGGCAAAACCGGCATCTTTTCGAATTCGGTGGGAGTGAAGTTTGCTCTTTAGGGATGTGTCTGTTCTGTAGTCCATTAACTTCCATTTCCCAGAAGAGACTTTTAAAAAGCCATGCGTCAGACTTTAGAGGAATTAACTACAACTACAAATATCAAAAGAGACGGAAAGAAAAAGCAATTCTGAAATTTGATTCAAGGCCAAAATGTGGAATATGAGGGGGCTGCCTTGTTGAATTCTGATTTGACAAATGCAGCGAACATCTGCGTCTTCTCATTTACAGATGACGATAATATTGGATTATTTTGGACAGAATCATTTACTGAATACTTTTGCTTTGTGTGGAGAGGCCTGGTTTCAGTATAGTGTTTTCATTACATGTATACCATCATATACATGTGTAGCGGCCCCTGCAGGTGAAAGCCAGATCGCATCAGATCTCTGAAGCTAAGCAGGACAGGGCCTGGTTAGTACTGTGATGAAAGACCTCTGGGAACACTGTGGTTGTGTCCTTAGGCAAGTCACTTCACCCACATTAGAATGAGTCTAGTCTGTGAGTGAATTGTTGGAGGTGGAGGGAGGGCCCGATGGCGCGGACTGTTTGCCTCGCTTCTGTCAGTGTATCCCAGGGCAGCTGTGGCACCACCGTGTTTGGAGTGAACCAATAATTTTGAGTGTCTAAGTATCCAAATCAAAGCTAGTAGTAGAGTAGAGTAGAGTGGATCCCTCACTGTACTTTTGATGTTTTTGTTTGTTGTATTTTAATTTGTAGCACTTTAAAGTGATAGTATGTAATTCTAAATGAATTAAAAAATTTAGGAAATGTGTAAAATTGACCTCCTGGCCTCAAATGTTGATATAAAATAAGTCATTTTATTAATTCTAATAGTACAGTTAAGTCCCGCCTTCTCTTCTCTTAGCTATAGCTCAGAATCCAAGATGCCGTCCACTTTAACCAATCGAGTCATGCCAAGGGCTGTCAATCATTGGCGCTGATGCTCGTAGCTCCGCGCATGCTCAGATGTTTGTTTTCCCTGGGAACTCCGAATCAAGCCTTTATAGGTTCTATAACTTCCCAAAAACTGAACAAAGAATTGTGAACATCCGCGCTGAGTTACCTATTTATATACTGAACCTATATCCATAATCAGATCCTCTGCAGATGTGTCCTATAATATGATAATAGCTTCTTCCGGGTTTGCCGCGAACAAATAATTCTGAAAACCTCTGTGGATGTGTATTAATAATGTATATGTATAATGTGTTCTCTGACTAACATTTCAAAGTGTTACGAAAACGTAGGTGTAGTAGACCAATCAGAAAGGAAGGGGTAGGGAGCTTGCGTCGTTTTTTTCAAATCAAGTACCTCTGTCTCTCTTTCTGACAAACTCCAAACAATCACTTTAAGGTTTCCTGGAAATGTAAGATGCAATATAATATAAAGAAAATGTGTTATTATTAATGTGGGCCTCCCTTAGGTTTCTCACTATTTTTCCCTCTGTTTCTGAGTGGTTCCTCTCTGATGCAGGAGGCTCTAAGGACAGTGATGATCTATGGACCAAAGGCTCCTATGTCGCGTTTCCACCGCAGGAGTTCCTGGAAAAAGGAGGGGGGTGAAACTTCTACAGGAACTGTCCTCTCTCTCGCCCTGTCAGTGGCCGTGTCTCCACTGCAGAGTAGGACCCCTCGGCAGCGTCATGAATTTCGATCGCAGCATAATCAATCATTATTAATTTTACGGTCGAAACCGCTCCGGTTGTTGTGGTCTTTGAGTTTTTGTTTCAGAGTGTGATGAATTCCCACTGCATCAAGATGCGCTGATATGTCCTGATATATAATTTCATTTTGCTGCGATGCCTCAAACCGCCTCTGAATATCCGTCCATTTATGGTACATCGTGCCGTTGTGTTTTGCCGTTTCCAGTGGTGTCTGCTAGGCTAATACTGCTGGGCTAATGCTGCTGGGCTAATGCCGCTGGGCTAATGCCGCTGGGCCAATGCCGCTGGGCTAATGCCGCTGGGCTATTGCTGCTGGGCCAATGCCGCTGGGCCAATGCCGCTGGGCCAATGCCGCTGGGCTAATGCCGCTGGGCTAATGCCGCTGGGCCAATGCCGCTGGGCTATTGCTGCTGGGCTAATGCCGCTGGGCCAATGCCGCTGGGCCAATGCCGCTGGGCCAATGCCGCTGGGCTAATGCCGCTGGGCTAATGCCGCTGGGCTATTGCTGCTGGGCTAATGCTGCTGGGCTAATGCTGCTGGGCCAATGCCGCTGGGCCAATGCCGCTGGGCCAATGCCGCTGGGCCAATGCCGCTGGGCCAATGCCGCTGGGCCAATGCCGCTGGGCCAATGCCGCTGGGCTAATACTTCTGGGCTACTACTGCTGGGCTAATGCCGCTGGGCTAATGCTGCTGGATTTTAAAAATGCCGGTTGTGTTGGTGCTTCCTGCTGGTGTCAGAGCCTGCTCTAGCTTTAGCCAATCAGTGCCAGGTTAACCCTTTAGGCGCCGGAGTTTTTTCAAGAAAATATAAAATTTTGATTAAGATTTCAAAAGGCTATAACTTTAAAATGGTTTGGGATAAAGGCATACTGTAAATTTGAAATATCTTCAGTTTGAACCAAACTTTGGGATGGAAGTTGATTCGTCATCTAATTTGCATATTGTGACGTCATCAAGGTGGCGGCCATATTGGAAAATGTAAATTATTGTATAAAGATTTCAAAAAGCTGTCGCTTGGGAGATTTTTGAGATCAGGGAATACTAACTTGATTGATTGATTGATTGATAGATACTTTATTCATCCCAGCGAGGGGAAATTCAGTTGTCCTTAGTAGCAAAACAGCGGATAAAAAAGACAATACATATAAATATAATAAAAAATTAAAACCCCCACACATTTACATCAGTGATGACCGTTATAAAATCGAATTGCAGCAGGGATGAAGGATCTCCGGAAGCGCTCAGTCCTGCTGTATTCGGAGAGGAAACGATCCGATCGATTGCTCTTCTGAGCAGACAGAGTCCCATGCAGAGGGTGCCTGGAGTTACTAAGGATGGCCTGGACCTTTCTCCCCATGCACCTCTCAACCACTGCCTCAACAGAGTCCAGTGACCCCCCGACCACTGACCCCGCCCTCTTAACCAGTTTGTCCAGCCTGTTACGGTTTTTGACCGATATATTGTTGCCCCAACTAATAACAGCATAAAAGAGAACAGCAGCCACAACAGAATGGTAAAACATAGACAACATTTGATTACACACATCAAAGGACTTCAGCCTCCTCAGAAAAAAGAGCCTGGTCTGACCCCTTTTGTAGAGCGCCTCTGTGTTGATGTTCCAGTCCAATTTATCATCCAGGTGAACACCTAGATATTTGTATGTGTGCACGCGTTCGATGTCCTGTCCATGAATATTTATTGGCTGTAAAGTGTTCTTTTTCTTGCCAAAGTAGATAGTCATTTCTTTGGTCTTGTTAGTGTTCAGTGAAAAACAACGACAAACGCGACAAAATATCCGGAGCTACTTCAGACTTGCTGCTTGCTCAGCGCATGCGCAGTGTCAGCAAACATGAATTGTTTGTGACTTGGCCGCACTACTACTACAGCACTAAATGTGAAATATCTTTAGTATGAAATGAATTTGGGATAGAAATCCAGATTATACATAGTCAGTGATCAAGACAGCACTCTTTATAGTTTACAGTCATGAAATCTGGAGATTGGTTTCAATATTTCCCTTTCAAAGAAGTAGTGGGCATACTATTTTTCTCAGTGCAAATGAGGCTTTTTTTTTATCTATATTTTTTATTATTTATGATTTTCATACATAATGATATGCATATATGTATTTATTAATAATAATGTCCGTTGATTGACCACAAGTTATTAAAAAAGTTGATATATTTATAACACCTTAACGGGCGTGTCCTACAGCCGCAGCAAGCCATGAACGCATCATCCCTGTTTTTCCTGTTGAATGCTACGGTCAACAGCGAACACATGGAACATTAACGTACAAAACACATTCAGAAGTGGCTAAACTTGCCATTGGAAGGTGAGTGCACACAACAAGGGAAATCAGATGTGTCGGGCTTCTGTCGGGCTCGGGCCTGTTATACAACCTTAATTGGTCGGGCTTATACGGGCTCGGGCCAGGTCGGGCTTGATTTTTCAGGCCCGAACGAAACTCTAACAGGGGCTGATTGTGGACTATATGGCGCGGTCTACTAGTCACCAATAATGTCCGTGTCTGCTTCACTGGACACCTGCGTGTCTTCCTCCTCTGAATCGGAGTGAGCCAGTACCATTCTCTGGTACTGAAGACCTTGTGAGTAAAATAAAAAACACTCTCTCCCTCTGCTCTGCTCTCGCTCCTCTCAGCTCTACTGCTGCTGCTTCGCCTCCGCGCTGCAGCGCCGCAGGTGTTTTACGAACTCAATTTACTCTAAAACTTTCAATATAACCACACCCACAAATGTTGCTCATATCACAGGCACACATGTCCACTAACCCCTGGTGAAAAGTATTAACAAGATTCTGCACCACATTTTTACATACAGCCTGTTTTAGTGAACAATGTTGCTTGTCGCAATATTGCGACTTTGGCGCTTAAAGGGTTCATCTCAAGCCCCACCAGGAGCTTTTCAGGGCCGAATGGAATACCTAGCATGGGTACTCCGTTGGGCCCCGTAAAAGTTACTGTAAATGGCCCTCTGGGGGAGGTTCCTGCAGTGGGGACACACCAATGAGGCTGGCCCCTGTAAAATGTTTAATTCTCTGATCTGTTGTTGCCAAATCAACAACTGAGTAGTCCTGCGAGACAACTGCTGCTGCAGTTTAATGCTTTACAAAAATAAATTAAAGCGAATTCAAACGCCTCTGATGTAGATCTGTAGTTCTATATTTGGGCTGATAGCATTCCTGGTTGTTGTAAATCCGGTTTCTCCTCTGGTCCTGAACCTGAACACAAACCTTGAGGTTAGTTTCTCCATCCAGGCTGGCGGTGGTGACGTGGCACGTGCCGTCGGGTCGTTCTGAGGACAGCAGCACCAGGTCCACAGGGAACGTCTCATCTTTAGCCACGCGAACGATGTCGCCGACCTGCACAGAACTCCGGTCATGTCACTGCTACCATCAGCCCACTCTGGTCTCCCTCCTACCCCACCCCACTCCACTCTGGTCTCCCTCCCACTCTGGTCTCCCTCCCACTCTGGTCTCCCTCCCACTCTGGTCTCCCTCCCACTCTGGTCTCCCTCCCACTCTGGTCTCCCTCCCACTCTGGTCTCCCTCCCACTCTGGTCTCCCTCCCACTCTGGTCTCCCTCCCACTCTGGTCTCCCTCCCACTCTGGTCTCCCTCCCACTCTGGTCTCCCTCCCACTCTGGTCTCCCTCCCACTCTGGTCTCCCTCCCACTCTGGTCTCCCTCCCACTCTGGTCTCCCTCTCACTCTGGTCTCCCTCTCACTCTGGTCTCCCTCTCACTCTGGTCTCCCTCTCACTCTGGTCTCTCTCATCTCTAACTGACGTTCTGCTGCAACAAATACTTTATTCACACAACATTCCTACATCTGCAACGTGACCATGCGATGAAGCAGAACTCCTCACTTATGTCACAGTCTTAAACACTATTATTCAAAAACAAGAAATTGTAACTTAATTCCCAGTTTCAAAAAGTGGAAAGACGTATGTATTCCATTTATTTAACTATGAAGAGCACTCAATGTAGGACTACAGCTGATCAGAGTGAGTCATTCTTGTCCACAGCCGCTAGAATGTGAGTATAAAGATATAGTCTAGACTAGAGTACTGGGAGGAACACACTGTGGATTCTTATGAATAAATGCAATCTTTGTGCAGTGTTGTTTTGGTGTGGGTTTATGAAAGCAACACTAGAGGCAATTTTCATCCATTTTTAAAAAGAAAAATATATGAAACAACTCTTGTTTCCAGCTCTTTGTCTGACTACATTCTCAAGCCTTTTAGACTCATCACCAGTGTGTGACGCCACAGCCCACCGGCCGTTTTAACCTGATCCAATTAAAATAATGACTGACAAATAAGAGAGCGTAACGTCGGTCTGCCGTGTATGACACAGGCCCCTTTGCACCAACGGCTATTTTAGAGTCTCTTCTTTCTCAAAAAATGACAAAGGATTGAATCTTCACCTTTTTCATGTACTGTGATTATTTATGATTTTAATGTCGTTTCTATCTTCAGTTCAGGACTTGAGTTACTGTGCTATACAAATAAACTTGCCCATTGTTAGACCACTATATCATACATTGTTCTAGGAGCAGATGTATCCTTTTGTGAGGATCTTACCCGGATGTTTTTGGATCTGGTTTGGACCAGGCTCCCACTCCGCACCACGTACACCGGAGCTCCGTTCACCTCGTTGTCGGCCTTGTGTCGGAGCCAGTCCTCGTAGCCCTGATGGCACGGAGCAGGAGTTAGAGGAGAGTTTGGACGAATCAAGACAAACGCCAAAAAACTTGTCTGCACATTCGAAACAAAAGACCTGAAGAAAGTCCCGCCGACTTCTCCTCTGGTTCTACACGTAGAGTACACATTCACCTTTCACCAGAAAAAATAGGTTCTCAAACTTTCACTCAGGACCCTTAAAATACATTCAAATGGAACGGAATGTCACCTGTTGAATTCAAGAGCACATCTTGATGCGCATTAGGCCTCAGCCTTAGTCCTGGATCTACAGCCTCAGTCCTGGCCTTATTCCTGGTGGGTAGCTGTTCTCACCTGTTTGATGGCGGTGACGGTGATGACAAAGAACAGCGGCAGGCCACTGGTGACAGGAGACGTGGGCGTGTCAATCATCAGCTGCAGAGACACAGAGACAGAGACACTGAAGAACTTTGTCTCTTTATGCAGGTTTTTATTAATAAGTAACTAAGTAAGTAAGTCATCTTTATGTAGCGCCTTTCACAGAGTCACAAAGCGCTTTTCACCTCACACAGAGATAGGAGTAGGGGTGGGCAATAATTATCATAGGCGATATTATTGCAAATGTAACTTAAAATTTGCACTGCTAATCAGTCACTGATAATTCACTAGTAACTTTCACTTGTCACTTTACCTGTTATCAGTACTACTGCATTATTACATTTCTGATATTTCTGCCTTTCACCAGTCACTTTACCTGTTGATATTATTTCTGATGTTTATTCTGCTCATATTCATATTCTCATATTCTCCGCGGATAATGTATAATATAGACATTTGTAAATACTTCCGAACCAAGTGCAATTATAGCCCAGAGTTTATCTCATTTTATTTTATTCTTATCTTAATTTTATTGTCCATTATCTTAAATAATAGACTTTGATGTGTGCAATCTGAGTGCTCTTATTTCCTTTCTCTGCTGTAATGTGCGCAACGATGACACTGAAATTTCTCCACTGTGAGACTAATAAAGGTTTATCTTATCTTAAATGTGACAATAAGCATTTTCACATTATGGAGATACTGGCTCTATTTCACTTTTGCCGCTTTGATTGTTTGCCTTTTCTGTGCTGCGCTCTCCCCTGCCTACTTTTGCTCTGCCCCAGCCCGCTCCTCGCAGGTGTCTCATTCAACACAGCAGCAGCAAGAACAAGAAGATACAGGAACTTCCACGACTGCACAGTAAGAGTGGCTGATCTGGAAGTTACTTACTATTAATGTTATAAGGCTTTTTTCCAATATGCACATTGAGTTGAGTAGTTTTATTTTTTTGTGTGAAGAAAAGGCAATATGTAAATATGTGGCAGTTTAAAATCCTTCTCTTAACATATAAAGCCATAAATGGCTTGGCTCCTTCTTATCTCCAAGACACGTTAGTGTCGTATCAACCAAGTCGAGCGTTGCGCTCACAAAACGCCAGACGTCTGGTAGTCCCTAAGGTCTCAAAAATCACTGTTGGTGGCAGAGCATTTAGCTACCAAGCTCCTTTACTGTGGAATCAGCTTCCCATTTATGTTAAGGAAGCAGATACAGTCTCCACATTCAAGGCCAGGCTTAAAGCACTTTACTTTAATTTAGCATATAATTAGGTAATATATAATATATGGTGTATATGTTATATATGGGGCGACAGTAGCTCAGTTGGTAGAGCATTGGCATTTGGGCCTGAAGGTAGTGGGTTCAAGCCCACCATAAGACCTACTTCACGACTCCCACTGATGACTGCTGTCGTTGTGTCCTTGGGCAAGACACTTAACCCCACTTTGCCTGAAGCTCCCACTGAAAGATCTCAGCTCCTGTGGACTCACCACCTGCAGGAAGATCAGTGAGGGGCTGGTGCTAAGTGGACTGGGTGCAGCTCTGACTGCCACCCCCCCGACCCAGAAATGGATTAAGGGGATAAAAATGGATGGATGGATGGATGTTATATATGTATGCTGTATTATGTTATATATTATGTTATATATTATACAATAATGTATTGTGTTATGTTGTATATTATGTTATATATTATGCTGTATGTTATGTTGTGTATTATATATGATATATATGGTATGTATGGTATATATGATGTATATGATATATAATATATAATTAGGTTTGCTTGGATCGGTTTGCACACCTGTGTGCAATCCATGAATCTCTTTATTCAAGGCTAGGTTTAAAACAGTCCTCTTTAGTTTAGCATATGGCTAGGAAGGTAAGACTCAGGGAAGGCTAAACTCCTCAGACTGTCAGTCAAGCTGCATAGGGAGTCAGTTTGCTGGGAGAAGTATGGTAACTTGAGCACTATCCTCTCCTCCTTCCTACTTTATCTACTTTATCTGTTTAGCACTTTTAGGATTCTGACTGTAGTTTGTTCATTGCTATTCACCCGTTGTCCCATTGTCTGTTTCATGGTACGATGACGGGATCTCTGAGCCTGGCCTCCTCCATCTGCACCTGCGGACTGCCCCGCCCGACCCGCCTGGGAGTGCTTTGGTCCTGCACCGGACCTGTCCACGTTCAGCGGCCACTGGTCCACGCTCTGTAGCTAGCTTAGGTCCTAGATCATTAGCCTGTCCGTCCGGAGGAGCGGATCCCTTTCTCATATGGGTCTCCCTCCCTGTGGGTTTCCCTAGTGCTCCCCAAGGTTTCTCACTTTTTCCCACTGGGTTTTTTAAGAGTTTTTCCTTGTCGATGCAGGAGGGTCTTGTTGGACAGTTAGTGTCCAACAGAAAGGATTGGTGATGATCAGGACACTTTAGCATTCTACAACATGTATGGACATTTTCTTCTGTGTGTGCTTTATATTCTCCATGTGTTTTGGCTGTTGATTCTCTGACCTGTGTTGGTGATTTCAATGGTTTTGTTAAGTCCTCTGAGATGACTTCTGTTGTGACCTAGGGCTATACAAGAATAAATTGTATTGTATTGTATTGTATTGAATGTATAATGTCTTCAAAAAGAGGAAATTAAAGCAAATGTGAGACATGCCCTTTGTTCTTACTTGAACTGACTCCCTCTTTGAGGTTCAATAAAACAAACAAAAGACTTTGAAAATTGGAATGGGAGTGAGGTTGCCACACAGGAGGCGCTTGTCAGACCAATTATATGCGTTTTTAGTGGTAGGGGAAACTGGAGCACCTAGAGGAAACCAACACAAACACAGGGAGAACATGCAAACTCCACTCAGAAGGGTCCTGTTACGACCGAGATTCGAACCCAGGACCTCCTTGCTGAGAAGCGAAAGTGCTATCCACAGTGCCGCCCAAGTCATACATACTTCCCAGGAAGTTGGAACAAATACACTCACGGCAAGGCATCTTTCCAGCACTACGGCCCCCGTCTTTGGAACAGTCTGCCGGAGGAGCTCAGGGCCGCAGAGAACGTTCATATTTTTAAAAGCAGGCTCAAGACACACCTTTTTAGAGTAGCTTTTGATTAGTATTTATTATGTTTTCGACAGATCTTATTTTGGTTCTTATTTATTTAAATGTATGTATTCTGTTTTGTCACTTAATTTTAGGTAGCTGTTTTACTCTTACTATTGTTAATTTTAGGTAGCTGTTTTACTTCTTTATTGTATTGTTTTAGTATCCCCAGTGTTTCCTCTGGAGGAGCCCTGTGCACTGGGAGCGGCGGTCTGCTGTGGCTGCGGGGGTCTGGCTTTTGGATCTGGTAGGGGCCTGGGCCTCCTCTCTCCTCTGGGTCTTGTGTCGTCCCCATAGACTGTATATATTAACGGACAGAGTCACGCCTATCTCCGCCTTTCATAGGAGTTGGCCATAAAAAGTGCTTTCATGGAGCAATCCAAGATGGCCGCGAGTGGTCCCGCCCACAAGAAAATTGTGAAAAACCGCATCTGCGCATGCGTCAGCCGGCGCAGCTCCATTCATTTGAACGAGAGACTTCAAAAATTCACAGCGAGTAAACTAGAGTGGACCAAAAAAATCCACCCCCCTCAGCATTGACACACATGTGGAACGGAGCTTTGGGCCAAGAGACAACTTTTGGACCATCCTGTAAAGACGTTTTTGAGAGGTCTGCCAATGCTATATGTTAGCATTGGCTAATTCTTCTTCTGGGTCCACCCCCACAGGCCCGGGGTGGTATTGCAAGCATGTCAGCGCACGTCATTTTGGCCACTTTTGAGCTGGGACCCTCCCCCACTGGTCGTCCCCTGTGGTTGCAAGCGGCTCTCTGCTCCTGCTGCGGATGGCTCCCTGGATGGCGCTTCTTCAGCTGGATACATCCGCACCCAGCCCTATATCTTTTCATAGTTTTACCTATTTTACCTGTCTGATGTGTTTTTTATTTGTCTCTGTCTGTGTGTGCGTGCGTGTGCGTGTGTATTGGGCATGTTGTATTGATTTTGACTCAGCTGTAAAGCACTTTGTGTTGCATTTTATTGTATGAAAAGCGCTTTATAAAGTTTGATTGATTGATTGAAATACAATAATAATAATAGTTCAAGTTTTATACAGCGCTTTATGGACACTCAAAAATGCTTCACATGTCATTATTTCACTCCAAACACAGCGGCAATAAACTTCTACTGTAACCACAGCTGCCCTGAGGCACACTGACAGAAGCGAGGCAACCAGCCTGTGCCATCGGCCCCTCCCACCACCAACACCAACCATGCACACACACACCAGACTCATTCTAACGTAGGCGAAGTGTCCTATCTTAGGACAGTAACAACAGTTTGGCACTTCACAGCCGCCCCACTGTGGCACCTGGTGTTCCCAGAGGTCTCCCATTACAATACCAACCAGGCCCTGCTTAGATAAAAGGTCTGACCACAGTCACAAAAGGCTACAGACTACAGTTACTCAAAGTCTGCTCTAAATATGATATAAAATAAAAGAAATGCATGAAAACTTATGAAACGATGGATGAAACGAGCAATATGTTCAATTCAAGCCCCGGCGATCCAAGATGGCGCCGTATTCAAATGAATGCTTGTACTCAGTGGCGCTTTGTGCCGGCATGGGTGCCGAAAAGATTAGCGGAAGTCGCCTGGAACTCGCAAAGATCCAGGGGAAACTCGCAAAGATCCAGGGGAAACTCGCAAAGATCCAGGGGAAACTCGCAAAGATCCAGGGGAAACTCGCAAAGATCCAGGGGAAACTCGCAAAGATCCAGGGGAAACTCGCAAAGATCCAGGGGAAACTCGCAAAGATCCATGGGAAACTCGCAAAGATCCATGGGAAACTCGCAAAGATCCATGGGAAACTCGCAAAGATCCATGGGAAACTCGCAAAGATCCATGGGAAACTCGCAAAGATCCATGGGAAACTCGCAAAGATCCATGGGAAACTCGCAAAGATCCATGGGAAACTCTCAAAGATCCATGGGAAACTCGCAAAGATCTATGGGAAACTCGCCTGTAT